TTTACGTTCATTAAATAATGTCGACCCACCAAAACCTTTTAAATCTTGCTAAAAAAAAATTGATCTGCGGTATCAGAAGTGCATGATGTTTGTGCTACTAATTAATCTAACATCAACTTAACCAACCCGTCAAGTTTTATTGTTCTTTTAAAAGCTGCGATACTGAGGTATCAAGGCAGATGGTGGTAGCACACGCACGAAGTCAAGCTTGGGAACTCAGCACCGCGTCTTCTGAAACACCTCACCTCTACCCAGCCAGTTTATCATGCATGTAATTAGTCCTCTGGTGCTGATCTTGTTCACACTGGTGCTAATTCCCACCGTAGAGTGAGTTTCGTCTTTTTGTTTTCTTGTATATTATGCTGTTGTGGGATTCTTTTTTTTTTTTACATTGTATTGCAATGACTTTGATATGGTGATACAGTGTAAAGTTATCCTGGGGGATACTTAAAACTTTGCAAATCTAACGGGAGGAGTCAAGGGAGATGTGGGATACTTAAAGCGTTATAAATAACTTTAATACAGTTCCAATCTTTACTCATCCTCCCCCTACCATTCCCAATATTGTCTCCCGTACGACATCTCTGAATTCCGAAACACTTGAAGCAATCTCTGAATATATTGCAGAGACCAAACCATCAATGGACACTGATCCACCTTCCGCTCTTTCTCTCTCCTCTGCTCCATCTGCGCAACTCCTTTCTTCACAGCGCACCGTTCCTTCGCTGCTTGAACATTTTCCACTGCCTCCGCATGTGGACTTTTCTAACCCTTCTAGTCCGTAGGAACCCTTACCTGCGGATTTCAAGTATCTTTATCATTGCCAATCATGGCCTTTTTACAGTGGAATATACGTGGCCTCAGGGGTAATCGGGGTGAGCTTCAGATGTTACTCTCCCAGTTTGCCCCTGTTGGTGTTTGCTTACAGGAACCAAAATTACACTCTGCTGTTATTTCTCACATCTCAGGCTATAATTTATTGTATTCTTCAGATCCTTTTCCTGATGGGACCTTTAATGAAAGTGCCCTTCTTCTCCGCACTGATATTCCGTACCATCAGCTATTTGTTCATACTTCGCTGCATTACACAGCAGCCCGTATCCACTTACATAGGTGGTATACGCTCTGTTCTTTATATCTCTCTCCTTCTCGGGCATTATCTATTCCGGATTTTGCCTTCCTTGTTTCGTCACTACCGCCACCGATTCTGTTACTTGGTGATTTTAATGCCCACCATTTCCTCTGGGGGGGGGTCTCACTGTGATTCCCGTGGAATTCAATTAGAGGCTTTTCTTGCCACCCACCCCCTCCATGTTTTAAATACAGGTACTCACACCCATTTTGATCCTCGGACTCATACTCTCTCTTGCATCGATCTCTCAGTTTGCTCTTCCTCCGCCGCATTAGACTTCACTTGGTCTGTTCTCCCGGACTTACATGAGTGATCATTTCCCAATCATTCTTACTTCCCCTTCATATTCGCCACCTCTTCGCACCCCACGCTGGCAATTTAATCGGGCAAATTGGAACCTTTACTCACACCTGACTGTTTTTAAAGAGGTTCCTTCTTCGTCCTCCATCGATGAGCTTTTACACCTCTTCTCGTCCTCCGTTTTCACCGCAGCTTCTCATTCTATACCCCAAACTTCGGGCAGGCATTCTCAGAAATGCGTGCCTTGGTGGTCTCCTGCTTGTGCTCGTGCAGTACGTTTGAAACGCGCTGCATGGGGCAGGTACCGGTACAATAGAACCACAGAGCGACTCCTTGATTTTAAACAGAAGCGTGCGATCGCTCGCCGTGTCATCCGTGACGCTAAACGCACTTGCTGGCGAGATTATGTCTCCACCATCACCTCTGCTTCCTCTATGAGTGCAGTCTGGAAAAAAGTACGAAAACTGAGTGGTAAATATTCTCCTGACCCGGCTCCTGTTCTGCGGGTTGCGGTGTTGATATAGCAAACCCACTAGATGTTGCCAATGAAATTGGCAATCATCTGGTCCGTATTTCTCAGGGACTCCATCTATGCCCCTCATTTCTTTCCTCAAAGTCTGCCAGAGAGTTAGCACCCTTGGACTTTTCTTCTCTCAGAGAAGAACTATAATGTGCCTTTTACACTTCAAGAACTGGAGGCAACACTCTCAGCTTGTCGATCATCGGCAGCTGGGCCCGACGACATTCATATTTGTATGCTACAACATTTACATCAGTCAGCCCTTGCAGTCCTATTACGCCTTTACAATCTTATTTGGTCACAGGAAGTTCTCCACAGCTGTGGAAATCCGCCATTGTTCTCCCTTTCCGCAAACCAGGCACTACGGGACATGAAACCTCCCACTATCGTCCCATTGCTCTTACCAGTGCAGTTTGCAAAGTAATGGAACGTCTAGTAAATAGACGTTTAGTGTGGTATTTAGAGACACACAACAGTCTCTCCACTCGTCAATATGGCTTTCGTAAGGGACGTTCTACCATAGACCCTTACTGCGCTTGGATACGTATGTTCATAATGCCCTTTGCGAATAACCACTCAGTTTTTGCCATATTTTTTGACCTTGAGAAGGCATATGACACAACTTGGAGGTATAATATTTTAGCCCAAGCCCACTCCTTAGGCCTTCGAGGCAATCTACCATCCTTCCTTAAGAACTTTTTAACTGACAGGAATTTCCGTGTTCGGGTTAATAATGTGCTCTCCCCGGACTTTATCCAAGCTGAAGGTGTCCCCCAGGGATGTGTTCTGAGCACAACACTTTTTCTCCTTGCTATTAATGATTTGGCCTCTAGTCTTCCATCAATATTTGGTCATCACTCTATGTTGATGACTTCGCTATTGCCTGTGCAGGCGCTGACTGTCACCTCCTTACAGTTTCTCTCCAGCATGCAGTCGACCGTGTTTCCAATTGGGCCACCACACATGGGTTTAAATTTTCCAGCACTAAAACCACCACCAAATCACTTTCACTAGACGCTCTGTCATCTCCGATCATCCTTTGTACCTCTATGGCTCCCGTATCCCTGAACGTGATACAGTCAATTTTCTGGGCCTCCTTTTTGATCGTAGGTTATCCGGGAAAACCTCACTTACCTCTCTGAAGGCAATTTGTCACACCCGGGCAAACCTTCAAAAACCCTTGTCATCTTCGGGGGGAGCTGATCGTCGAACCCCCCTTCACCTACTTCCACCCTTATTTTATCGAACTTGTTAGGGTGACCAGATCTATTCAGGGGCATCCCCGCTTCTCCTAGCCTTAACCTATTCATCCCCAAAGGGATTACTTTATGCCTTGGGCTTTCGCTTTTCCCCCTTTCAAACCCTCTAGCAGAAGCAACGTTCCATCCTTACCCGATCGCCGTGATCCCTTTTCCTGCGCACTATGTACCCTCATGATCTCCCCAAATCCTTCCATTTATAAATGGCCCTGATATTAGTAGACATTCTTTTTTTGTTCGCCCCCCCCTTTTTACTCCCCCCCTTTCTCTTCGCCTCTTTCGCTCTTGCTTCTTTTTCAACCCCCCTTATTCATGTAGCATCTCACTTTTCCCTACCCCCCGGGAATTTTCCAGCTGTTCGAGTCTGTTTTTTTTTCCCCTCCCTTCCAAAGCCCAACTGTCAGGGTCGTTTCCCGCTCTCTTTTTCTTGCCCACTTTCACTCCTTTCCCATCCCAAATTGCTGTGTACACAGGGGCTCTAAGTCTTCAGGGGTGGATTCGCACAGTGTTTCCGACAGCGTCGTAAAAGGGGCATTTACATCTTCGGCTAGTATTTTACTGGAATTATATCCCATCCTTAAGCACTTACCCGTATTGCACTGCTGTGTCATCATTTTTGGTTGTCTAGACCCCCTTAGTGCTTTACAGGCTTTAAAAAAAATTTGAACCCTCCCCCCTTATCCTCCGTACCAACTTTGGCTACGCCGCATCTTTACCAAGCATAGAATTGTTTTTTGTTGGGCCCTGGGCGTTGCGTACAGGGCAAAAGAACAGGCAACACTGCTGCCGGTCAGCAGTACATGACCCACCGTTTCTTTAGAGGGATTCTTTACGGAATTTTTCTGTAAAATCTTCCCACCTTCACACCCCTTGGCAACAACGTTGGTTATATGGGCGGCAACAAACTTCATTTTAAAACCCAGATAGGTTACTGGGCCCTCTTTTATCACCAGTGGGGTTGGGAACACTCTCTCCGCTTGCATTGGGCCATACTCGTCTTACTCATGGTTCTCATGGGGGAGGGGTCTTGTCCTCCTGGAGAATTTCCAACCCATTACAGTCAGCCACACTGTTTGGGCGCCCCTTTATCAAGAGCACGCAAATTTTCCTCTTCGCTCTTCGCCCGGGTGCCCTTTTCCTTCCCTTCTCGCTATGGACCCCCCTTTCATCCGCTCTCTCATTGATTTTTTTGACAACGACTGACTTGCTACACAAAATTTTGATACTTAGCCCCTTTTTACTTTAATCTCTTGCTACCCTCTACCCCCTACATCCCCGCCCGCTGTTTTCTGTAACCTTGATCATCCCCCCCCCCTTCTTCCCCCAATTCCCTTTTTCCTTCCTACCCTGCGCGCGATAGCCCTTGGGCTTAGCCTTCTTTTTGAATAAAATAATAAAAATAATAAATAAATAACTTTAGAAACCAAAACTATGATTAAGTAAACCTAACCACACACTATGGCTTGAAATGAAAAAATTCTCGAATCAACAATCCATTAGAATTCCCCGAGTTTAAAAACTTGTGTGTGATGGGTTTTTCCCGCACCATTAGTACATAACTAACCCTGCACAACAGTTTAAAAAAAACAGATTTCTTGTACTTGACCTGTCAAAATATCCTAATTTTTGGTTTGATACACCCGCTATGACCTTCTGCTACTGCGTTTCTGCAGAGGCAGAAATTTGAAGCGTTTTGGTGCCCCACCCCATGAGGGGGGAGGTGGTGGCTCTGGCAGAGTCAGAGCCCTACCCGGTCCACCCCTGCCTCCATACGACCCAATGACACGGCACCGCCAGACAACGTGGTGAGTGCCTTCCTAGTTATACATTCGAAGGGGGTTGGGGTGTCTTTTGATTCTCCAAGACTTTATCAGAAGAGTTGGAGCTAGTTTTCCTTGGATTAAACTTCATTACCTGTCGCTTAACAGGCACTGTATAATCCCTACGGGTTTAGCGTTTTCCAATGATTATAATTTGAATATATATGGTCCGCCTCTAGATTTATGGAAGATCCGTATCCTAAAGTAAATAAAATGGCTTCTGGGAATCCAGATTTTATTCTAAGAGTCGTCTGAGCATTTTTTTTTTTGTCCACACCCCTCCCTTACCCCCCCCCCCACACACACACACACATTGGCGCAATTCTGTTGCTCTAGTTCAGGAGTTTCTCGATCTCCTTAGACGATGGTTGAGAACCCAAGATACAGGAGCCATTACTCCAAGGGATCGTCACTATTGAAAAAGTGACAGCTCTTGGGTCTCTTACTTTTGAATCTGTCTTAATAAAGAAACCCATGGTGCACTTTCCTAGGAACCAAGTATCTCTGATCCTCCTGGGATGAAGACGTAGTAAGAGGACCACGCCCCTATATCTTGAGGGTTTTTTTTTCCCTGTGATCAGCAGCACCGCCTTAGTGACCAGCACTAAACTGAATGTAGAGGTGTCAGCCTGGTAGATATATAGTCTCCCACAACTTGACAATTTCAATGATAGTGTGATCACACTGGGGTGGCTGGCAAGCGTATGAGTTCCAGAGTAATATAGACGGAGGTTCTCGGATAGGCACGGGGCTGAAGCAAGACTTTTGTTGATCTCGTTGACTGTCTTAATTAACATGCTGTCCTTTGGAACTTGCACTGTTCAGACATTGATAAATTAAACACACGTGCAACTCTTGGGTATCTTTATTAAGGAAACGTTTCGCCACAGTGGCTTCATCAGTCCATACACAGGAGAAACTTGAACAGAAGGAGAATGAGGTAATCAGTCCCTCAACCTTGAGTCGATGTGGTCAGTCCATCAATCTTGAATAGAATACGGCATATGAGCGGAGAAGCAGCTTATAAACCGTAGGCAGGAGAGGTGCAGCAGTCGTAGGTGGTGTCACATTTGTCCAGTGTGGAAGTAGGTCGTGCCCAAGGGTTAGGCAAGCGAAGAATTCCCAAGTATTAAGATCCCAAGAAGTTGCAGTGTCTGACAGGAATGTAGATGAATGGTCCACAGAACCGACACGTTGATAAATTAGACACGTGTGCAACTCTTGGGTAACTTTATTTATTAATAAAGATACCCAAGAGTTGCACATGTCTAATTTATCAACGTGTCGGTTCTGTGAACCATTCATCTACAACAATGTTCAGACATGCAGATCATGTTGGTAAACTACCGCTTTCCAGGAAATACTTTTACTGTGTGAATAAGAGGCAGCAAGGCAGAGAAATACTGTAATGTGATGTGTGTATGGGTCAAAACTCTTGCCAATCTCAAAGGTGGATACTATTAGTACTAAACTACCTGGGTGGTGTGCACTCACGGCTAGAGGCAATTGATTTCCTTTTTGAAAGCTTCCAGTGTCTTTATCCCTTGGAGGGAGGTTCGTTGATATTGGTGAGGGGCTCTTAATCTCAAGAACAGGACCTGTTCTAATTCCTTAATTAAGCCTAAATGCCTTCCATTTCCCAGGTGCTATGTGTCCCTTATAGGTTTAGTGCTCCTATGAATGCAATGGTCTTTTAACACGATGAGGCGTCTTGTTTGAGCCCAGATTTCCAACTGGTATTGTTATCTGGAATAAATTTATCCCACGTGCTTGTCACTAGTGAAGCTGGACTCTTCCAACCCCTCCAAATTATGCAATATAATCTAGTAGAATTTTTGAATCACGATGTCCCAGGCAATGAACGGGCAGATGCTGAGGCAGAGGCTGCTATAGCAAGACCATTCTACTGTAGACTTTGCCTTAGTGACTTAATGAGTCATATCCACAGATGTCTTCGAGAAGCGGCACGCCCAATGAACCCAGAAAACTGAGAAAGTTGTACGTGAGTGTTTGGCCATTGAACAGAAAGTTACTTTAAGGCGAATCTTGGCTATTAAGGATCGGGCACACCTCGCACATAGCCTGTTTGCAAATGCTAATACATTTGTTGCCCGACCAACACCCCTCCCCTCTTCCCCGCCCCTTCCCAGAAATCGAATTAGAGCCCTTTACTTACTGAATTGCAGATCATATTTCCTCACCCCCTATTCAAAGGAAGTGTCCTAATGCTGGTGAAGAGCTTCTAAATCAAGGAATTTCAGCTAGTCTCCCTTGAATTAAACTTGATTACCTCCCATTCTCCAGACGCTGCATGACCCTTACGGTTTAGTATTTCCCCAGAATATTAATTTCAAGGCTAACTGATGCTTCCTGTTTTCTCCCCACAGACAAAAATACAGAAGCAGACTTGGTATGAGCTAACTAAGGTGGTGTCGCAGATGGTGAGGGACTTGCTGGCCCCCTACATCAGCTTCTTCGAGGAATACCCGATCAGTCTCCTAGAGACCTTCGACACTATAAAGTCTGCTGTGGCTTCCTCTTCACTCACAGATAACCCAGCGGTGACTGCAGCTGTAGGCACTGCTGCAGCCGCCCTTCCTATACTTATTCACGTAAGATTCACGTGTGCGCGAGCGCGTAATGTTTCGCTTCAATGAATAATAATGTCTTCGTGAACACTAATAAATGGACGCGACCAATTACTTTTAAATTTGTGGATGGAGGAAGGGGGCGGATGAGAAAAGAATGGATGGGAGGTTGTGATGCTGTAGAAGTTGCACGGGATAGGAAGAATGAAAGGGGGCATAAAGGAGATTAAGATGAAAGAACATGACTTAGAGGTACTGCTAATGCCGAAAATGTGTGAATGTGAATATACGGTATGTTCATTATACGTGTAAAGACTTGTAGCAGCCAGACTAAACGTGTACTCCCTTGGCCAGTATCAGATATTTAATACACATGCAGCTGGGCTAACTTCTAGTAACCTGTAATAAAGTTGGTAGAATTACCGACAATATGTAAAGTAAAAGGACACAAGTGCAACTAATGTGACATTTATTGTGGCAACGTTTCGCTCTCCAGGAGTTTTATCAAGCCATTACAAACAATACATGGACACAGAGGGTATATAAAGGCTCAGAGTAAGGTGAATACTAGTGAGGAACCATTTCGATGTTCACTAGTGGTGGTAGTAGTAGTAGTAGTAGTAGTAGTATTACTTTTGTCACTACTACTACTACTACCACTACTACCACTAGTGAACATCGAAATGGTACCTCACTAGTATTCACCTCACTCTGAGCCTTTATATACCCTCTGTGTCCATGTATTGTTTGTAATGGCTTGATAAAGCTCCTGGAGAGCGAAACGTTGCCACAATAAATGTCACATTAGTTGCACTTGTGTCCTTTATTCTAGTAACCTGTAATAGAATGAGAGTTGTGCAACATTTGGAATTCTTTACTGAGGAAATGTTTCGAAACAGTGGCTTCATCAGTCCAGTATAAAGAAGAACGGTAGATAAAGTAGTTTGAATCCATCAGTCTTCAAGACTGGGCTGAACACGCCGATTCCAGGCTGAGAGACTGATTACAACGAAGGTGGAAAAAGTGAGGTAATCAGTCTCTCAGCCTGGAATCGGTGTGTTCAGCCCAGTCTTGAAGACTGATGGATTCAAACTACTTTATCTACCGTTCTTCTTTATACTGGACTGATGAAGCCACTGTGGCGATACGTATCCTCATTCTTCAACTTGTCTGTTTTCTAAACCATTATCAAATAACCTGCAATAACAGGGGTTTTTTGGTCCTTGTGCCACAGGCTTCGAGGTCGCTGCTAGAGTCAGTAGTCGGTCTGTTGGACAACTGTTTGTTCGTCTTCACTGGTCAAGGGTTGGGCCGCCACGCCCTGGATACTGAGTCCTACGATGATATTGCAGACATCCTACTGAAAGTGGTCAGCCTCGTCGCCCGCCACCTAGGCAGGTGAAGAGCCTCGGAGCAGAAAAATCCCCTTCGCCTGCCACTTCGAAGTATCTAGACTCAAAGTGGACAACTTCAGGCTGCCACTTAGTGTCAATCCCTAAAGCTCCTGGCTGTTACACCTCTTAGTCAGCCACTTCGAAGTGCCGAGCCTTTGAGCCAAGGAAGAAATAACCAGGTGACAAAACAAGACCAGCTGAAGCGAAATCTATGCAAGTAGGAAAGTGAATACAAGGGGGAAAAGGAATAACTAAAGTGTTAAAAGATTTTTAATAATGCTAAACTTTGTTTTTTGAGGATGGGGGGAATTACATAAGCACCCAATTGGAAATTGTACGTGGGTAAAAAATAGAAAATTGATAATTAAATGGGGGGGGGGGGAATAAGACTCCTTCGAAGTTCATAAAGTTCTTGCATTGTGTAAATTTGTTACCAGGAAATGAAACAGTTCAGAGTAAAGTAAAATTAAGTAACGTAAAGGTTGCAGTACAATATGTGAATAAGACATAATGGCGGCTTTTTATTTTATTGTGAAGCCATTTCGTCCACCAGGGACCTTTATCAATTCAAAGTGAATCAATAGTTCCTGATGGGTGAAGTTTTGGCAATAAAATGCTGTAACCTACTTGCGTATCTACATAAATCTTGTCAACATCCACTTCATACTTTATCAGAATATTAGCCGCCTCCTAAATTCATCTCATTTTCATTCGTGTAGCTCATTTTTAAATTTTAAAACTGTTTTGTAAATACATTATCAGTTTCTCTCCTACCACTATTGACAGTTTTGTTGTCATAGTTAAAGCTTGGTTGTTCCAAAGAATTAGAACTACTCCCATTCCTTGGATTGAATGATTATCGTATTTCCCATGGCGTGCATGACACCTATTCCTTTAGGTGGTCTCTTAAGGAGTAGGTGTCGCTTTCCTTTGTAGGGGAAATTAGTCTTCATTTTCTAGTCATGGCTTTACTGGGTGGGCTGCAGCTCCCTTAGGATGGCCATATGTGCAAACCAAACCAAACACTGACTTGAGTCTACCGTGCATGGTGGCCCGTGAGAACCTTAATATAATCTTGATTTGTACAAACTCGTGTACAAAGTATACAGGCCTAGCTGACATCAGTGACGTACTGCTATATAGACAGCCCCTTATTATGCAGAGCATTTCCGGCAAATTAGGTAAATTTTGTCTCAGGATGCGACCCACACTCTAGCACCCATTTTACTGATGGGTGAACATTGGATAACAGGTGTCTTAAGAACACTTCCTAATGTTTCCAACCATGCCGGGGATCGACTCCCCAAACCTCGGTGTGTCAGCTAGCAATCATGCTACGGGATTCCTCAGTTTCCCTTTGTCCAGAAACTGGGCAGGCTGATAGAGCAGCTGTGGCCTGCAGGTAGACAACACTTCAAGGGGACAGAAGTCATAAGGAAGGTTTGGTTGGCCCTGCTGGTCTTGGAACTCTTCTCCATCTGGTGAAGCGATATATTTGGCTAGGGCCAAGATGGAATGTTTGTGGTGAGCTGCCATCATTCTTGGTCCTGAAGTTGCCATTTAGCTAGTGATCCCTCACGTATACCTCTGTTAATCCTGGGGTCGTTTTAGTACACGAGTAATTAGCCTTTCCTAGTGCTCGATGGTATGTTTGTGGGGGAAAGTGGAGGGTGATTCCATTAGGTATATGCATATTTATAATTCTCTATTTAAATACACAAGGGTGCCTTGCACATCGACCTTGATACTTTACATTTTCCTCATGCAAGTCACTTCCACAGAGTACCATGCTAGATAATATTCGTTCACATCCTCTCAAGGGAGGTTTCTTGATACTGACGAGAGGCTCTTGATCTAAGGAATTGAACTTGCCCATAAATTCCTCGAATAGTCCAAATGCCTTCCATTTCCCATAAGGGCCGTGATCCCGACGGGTTTAGCGCTCCCTCATAAATGTAATATTCGCTCCCATTCACAAGAAATCTACTATGGGGCCCATATCCCGTACATAAAATTTTAGCTTCCATCCCATAAACTCTAGAAAATCTGGACAATTAGTGATCCAAGCAGTTCTAAGAGCGGTCAAAGGGTTTAGCGCCTGGTTTTAATTATAATTAGCTGTCAAAGGTAAGGTTTTTTTTTCACACCCATCAGTTATTGTGGTGCAAGTTAATGATACCACACATGAGAACTTTGACACTACAAACTCCAGATTACACACTTGTCACTACTCTCACGCGTCCTAACGAGTGTTGTGTATCCCTCAAGGTAGGTAGGTGCCTTTGTAGTCTGAGAGGGGGCTCTTAATACAAGAAATAGGACTTGTTCAAATACAAAGGGTGGGGAGGATGCCTCACATTCCCCAGGCGCTATAAGACCCCTGCTGATTTAATGGTTCCTCTGGTTAAAAATAAGTATTGTGGAACTCTCCCGCATGTACTTAATCCAAATATTTTCCAGAAACTGCCACTGCATGTTTTCGAAGATCTGTGTCTGTCTGTGTGTCTGTCTGTGTGTCTGTCTGTGTGTCTGTCTGTGTGTCTGTCTGTGTGTCTGTGTGTCTGTCGTGTGTCTGTGTGTGTCTGTCTGTGTGTCTGTCTGTGTGTCTGTGTGTCTGTCTGTGTGTCTGTCTGTGTGTCTGTCTGTGTGTCTGTCTGTGTGTCTGTCTGTGTGTCTGTCTGTGTGTCTGTCTGTGTGTCTGTCTGTGTGTCTGTCTGTGTGTCTGTCTGTGTGTCTGTCTGTGTGTCTGTCTGTGTGTCTGTCTGTGTGTCTGTCTGTGTGTCTGTCTGTGTGTCTGTCTGTGTGTCTGTCTGTGTGTCTGTCTGTGTGTCTGTCTGTGTGTTCTGTCTGTGTGTCTGTCTGTGTGTCTGTCTGTGTGTCTGTCTGTGTGTCTGTCTGTGTGGTCTGTCTGTGTGTGTCTGTCTGTTGTGTCTGTGTGTCTGTGTGTGTGTCTGTGTGTGTTCTGTGTGTGTGTGTGTGTGTGTGTCTGTGTGTGTCTGTGTGTGTGGTCGTGTTGTCTGTTGTGTGTGTGTGTGTCTGTGTGTGTGTCTGTGTGTGTGTCTGTGTGTGTGTCTGTGTGTGTGTCTGTGTGTGTGTGGTCTGTGTGGTGTGTGTCGTGTGTTGTGTGTCTGTCTGTGTGTGTGTCTGTGTGTGTGTCTGTCTGTGTCTGTGTCTGTGTGTGTCTGTGTGTGTCTGTGTGTGTCTGTCTGTGTGTGTCTGTCTGTGTGTTGTGCTTGTCTGTGTGTGTGTCTGTGGTGTCGTGTGTGTCTGTCTGTCTGTGTCTGTGTACTCACCTATTTGTACTCGCCTATTTGTGGTTCCAGGGGTCGAGTCTTAGCTCCTGGCCCCGCCTCTTCACCGGTTGCTACTGGGCCCTCTCTCTCCCCGCTCCATGAGCTTTATCAAACCTCGTCTTAAAACTGTGTATGGTTCCTGCCTCCACTACGTCATTTTCTAGGCTATTCCACTGCCTTACAACTCTATGACCGAAGAAATACTTCCTAATATCTCTGACTCATTTGTGTCTTCAACTTCCAATTGTGGCCTCTTGTTTCTGTGTCCCCTCCCTGGAACATCCTGTCTTTGTCCACCTTGTCTATTCCACACAGTATTTTATATGTCGTTATCATGTCTCCCCTGACCCTCCTGTCCTCCAGTGTCGTCAGGCCGATTTCCCTTAATCTTTCTTCATAGGACATTCCCCTTAGCTCTGGAACTAACCTTGTGGCAAACCTTTGTACTTTCTCTAGTTTCTTGACGTGCTTTATCAAGTGCGGGTTCCAAACAGGTGCTGCATACTCCAGTATGGGCCTGACATACACGGTGTACAGTGTCTTGAACGATTCCTTACTAAGGTATCGGAATGCTGTTCTCAGGTTTGCCAGGCGCCCATATGCTGCAGCAGTTATCTGACTGATGTGTGCTTCCGGAGACATGCTCGGTGTTATACTCACCCCAAGATCTTTCTCCTTGAGTGAGGTTTGCAGTCTTTGGCCACCTAGCCTATACTCTGTCTGTGGTCTTCTGTGCCCTTCCCCTATCTTCATGACTTTGCATTTGGCAGGATTAAATTCGAGAAGCCATTTGCTGGACCAGGTGTCCAGTCTGTCCAGGTCTCTTTGAAGTCCTGCCTGGTCCTCATCAGATTTAATTCTCATTAACTTCACATCTGCAAACAGGGACACTTCTGAGTCTAACCCTTCCATCATGTCGTTCACATATACCAAAAATAGCACTGGTCCTAGGACCGACCCCTGTGGGACCCCGCTCGTCACAGGTGCCCACTGTGATACATCATTACGTACCATGACTCGTTGCCTCCCTGTCAGGTATTCTCTGATCCATTGCAGTGCCCTTCCTGTTATATGCACCTGATGCTCTAGCTTCTGCACTAATCTCTTGTGAGGAACTGTCAAAGGCCTTCTTGCAGTCCAAGAAGATGCAATCATCCACCCCTCTCTCCTGTCTGTCTTCTGTTATTTTATCATAAAACTCCAGAAGGTTTGTGACACAGGATTTGCCTTCCGTGAATCCGTGCTGGTTGGCATTTATACTCTTGTTCCGTTCCAGGTCCCCCACCACTCTCCTCCTGATAATCTTCTCCATAATTTTGCATACTATACCTCTTCAAGGGGGGCTCCTTGGCGTGGTGAAGAGGCTCTTGGTCTGAGGAATTAGACCTATCGGTCTTCTTCCTCAGACCGAACCTAATTACCCCCCAATCTCCCCTCCCCTATCCCATCCTCCCCTATCCCATCCTCCCCATCCTCCCCTTTTTCCTTTCCTCCTCCTCCTCCCCACTCCTCCCTTTTGCCCTTCCTCTTTTTGTCCTTTGGGATTTCTCCCACAGGCGCGCTAGTTCCTAGGTAGGAGAAAGGATACCGGGTGTCCATCCCATTCCGTTGAGGTTCTTAGCGGTGGCGTAGTTTGCCGTGGAATCTGGATCGCCTGGGGATGTCCCGATCCCTCTCCGGTATCCCGGAGTAGCTTTGGGTGTCTTTCGGGCGACGAGTGTATCTCTGGAAGCCACCTTTCGGATTCCGGGGGTGGTGGCCGAAGGAGGTATGCTTTGTGGCGGATATCCAGCCGCCCTCTCTTTTGTCCACCGAGGTAGCTCGGCAGATGTGAGGTTGCTATCCCGGATTGTGTTAGTTTACTAGCATGATGGTAGGGTTATGGCAGGGTTCCATGCTGCATCTGCGCTACTTGCGGTGCTGAGGTCCTCTTGGGCGTGGAGGGAGATTTCTGGCCCTTTCATTCCTCCTAGGACCTATCCCTCCCCGGTCCCCCCTTTTTTCTTTTTTTTATTTTTATTTTTATTTTCTTTCTTTTTTTTCTTAAAAACAAAAAGAAAGAAGTAACCTAACCATGGCAGCCCTAG